CTCGTTAGAATTTTTGCCTGATCTAGTACAAATCGAAGTGCGAGAAACAGTCTCTGGAGCTTTTTCGGCAAGAATGGACATCCCAATCCAAGTCTGGCACAACATGGTTGAGGTGACGCGAAGAGAGTTCAACGAACATCTTACGAAGCAAGTACCCATTGCAAGTATGTTGAGATGCTGAACGACAATAAACGTAATTTCAAACCACATAGTGAACGAAAGCAAAAAGACTTAATATACAGGCATTGCGTGGAAAGCCCAAAAAATGCTTGTAGTTTATTAGCGTTTTTGGAGTGGAGTAGTGAAAGGATATGACAAGAGTCTATAACGCAGGCATAAATGACTGTCACAGTGTAATTGGCAAATTGAGCAATAATCGTCGTCAAAGAACACAAGAAAAACAAAAAATTTCAATAAAATTTTTAATTTTTCTTTCTAAATTGTTTTTCTTTTTTTTGAAGTTTTTTTTTGTTACCAAAAAAGCGCTCAAAATTTTTAATTATAGTTTTACTGGAGTGAAATAAAAACTCTTTGTTCTATCCTTCTAAAAAAGGATTGCTCTATTGCTATACTTGCTCGAAATTTTACTGAAGCTTAGAAAATTTAGGCCTGTTTTTCTCGAAACTGGAACATTTCATTGATTGTCGTCAAATCAGCACTGAAGTGTTTTCATATGATATATCACTCCAAGATATTCAATGATTTGTTATAGTAAGTTTCAGGGAATTGTTGGAAACTTGCCCTTAATTTGGTGTAACTATTAGAACGAGCTGGAATAAACATTAAAACACTCATTTAAAATGCCCTTAGGCGTCAAATATCAGTGCATAAAAAGGCCAAATATTTGTCCACCAAATTGATTTATGGCTTTTTCAAATCTCGAAATTGCTTTTGTAGTAAGGACTAGTCCAACTTGAACAAGGATAACCTGTTACTGTGCAAGTAGGACAAAATATATCGGCCAAAGTCCTAAACACATTAAAAAGTCAATTGGACAACAATTCCTACAGAAAATTGACAAAAAACAAAAAAAAACGTTTAAAAAAATGAAGAAAAAAAAATTCAAAAACTTAGTCAAACGTTTTTTTTGCAGAAATTCACCGATTTTGTTAAATGTTTAATTCCCAAAATGGCGCTGCTTACATGGCACCAAAAGCTAACTTTTTTGCGATTAAAACCAGTTTCTAACAGCTTAAATTAAGCATAAACAAACTGTTGTAATTTTCACTGCATACATAAATCTTTTCGCTCACTTTATTTGCTCGAAATTTGATCAAAAATTCAAAATTTCCCTGTTTTTTTTCGGCACTGAAAAGTTTTTTTGATTCTGATAAGCTATGGAGAAAAGTATCATGCAACCAGAAGACTGATTAATTGCTAGAAAAGTTTGGCAAGTCATACCGAAATCCTATTTTTCAGACTTTTACACTTCAGCTATAGAAGACATAATTTATGACTCTGATTGTCTTGACCCGTCCCCTGATGTTTTTAGTGCAATTGCGAAAACCCCCCAGCTGGCAACTAGAAACTAGCAAAGCCCCCGTTTTTAGCAACAGGGATGAAGACATCCCTGCATTTATACTAGTCCTGAAACATTCGAGGCCAACGCGTGCACTGGATGAGCGCGCAATTTGATGTCTGCATGTCTCTTGAATCCAGAGACATGTCTTTACACATAACAAGTCTTCAAAATTTTGTCCGAATAATCAAAGAAACAATCGGAACAATTGTTTCTGTTGCGGAGTCCACTTACAATAAGCAAAGTTCACAGTTTGGCCTCGTAATGCATGCAATTCTCGTTTTTGTTTTCCGTCGGGCTGAGGAAATAATTTTTTTTTGTTTTAAAGCACCAAAAATGTTCAATCAGAACCATTATGTTTGATTTGCAATCAAAAAGTAAATTGTCGAACTAATTTACTTCTTAATAATGATAGATAAACAATTCAGCAAATACTTTTGAATTACCATATCAAGTAATCATTCAAAGGACAGAGCAAAAACACATCAAAACAAAGATTGCCGGTTGTTGTAAAGTATTTTGAAGTATTCTGACCATATTTAAATTTTATCTGAAATAATTTTTTTTGTTGTTCGACTTTCGATACGAAAGAAACGGAATATTTGTGCTCTGGGTGGGTTTTTTTCTTCGGACAAATTTCGACATTTTAACTAGCCATTTTTGACGGAATTTTTAAAATATCAATCCAAAGGTATTGTTATCCTGAGCTCAAATTTTATTAAGATATTTCACCTGTGATCATTTTTCATAAAGTTATGGGGGGTTTAAAGATTGCCATTGTGGCCAATTTGGGACAATTAACGCGCGATATATTTCGCGCTTTTAACGCGTAAGCGGAGAGTTAATCCGTCTTAAAATCTTTCCAAATTGCTTGAAAGAAGCTTATTTGCCATAATTGTTTTGTTACAAGGAGCAAATTCTATCCTTTTGTACTTTATATGGCTTGTGGGGGGATGACTTCTAAAAAAAAATTAAATGTAAAAAAAAATAAAACGAAATTTTTTTTCTAAAAATTGAAATTTTTAATGTTATTACTGCTCCATAAAGCTTTAAAAGGCAGTCAGAACATTCAAGGCTTCGCGTAAAAAGTTCTAGACGCAAAAAACGGCCTTGAGTCGCAAAAAACAGATTCGCTCAGCAAAATAACACTGTCTGGAATGTGGCGAGATAATACAAATGGACTATCCTCAACAGGACTGTTAAGGCCTACTGATAGCTCCTCTGCGATTCGCAGGAACTGCAATTATGTTATTATGATTATAAACTCCCATATGTGGACAAATTTTGTCCAAAAACGCGGCTCCGTTATCGCATCACAAAACGGGACGGAGTTAATTATAATTCCCGTTTTTTTTGAAATCTTTTTGGACCAAGTTAACATCACCCCCCCTCAAATCCGTTTAGGAGGGAGGAAGTTAACTTGGTTCTGAGCTCGACTTATTAGCCAATCAGAATAGAGCTTTTCACATGCAGCGCTAAGCAGATTTAAATTAAAACAAGACTGCTCAAACCAGGGCGAAGCCCTGAATATTCCGACTGCTTTTGAAGGTTTATGGAGCAGCAGTAATAACATAAAAACACTATATGAAATAAAATAAAATGAAAGTTTTTTCTAAAATTTGAAATTTTTTTTTGAAAATCATCCCCCCACACGCCATATAAAGGTGCAAAAAGATAGTTTTCGTTCCTTGTAACACATCAATTATTGCAGTTAAGCTTCGTTCAACCAATTTGGAACAATTTATAAGACGGATTAAATCTCCGCTTACGCGTTAATAGCGCGAATTATATCGCGCGTTAATTGTCCCAAATTGGTCAAAATGGCCAAAATGGCAATCTTTAAACCCTCATAACTTTACGAAGAATGATCACAGGTAAAATATTTTTTTTTCAAATTTAAGCTCAGGACAACAATACCTTTTGAATGATATAAAAATTTTGTCAAAAATGGCTAGTTAAAAAGTCGAAATTTGCCTGAAGAAAAAAACAACCACCCCGAGCACAAATATTCCGTTACTTTCGTATCGAAAGTCGGAACAACAAGACAGCTCGTATCAGGGCGAAGCCCTGAATGTTCCGACTGCCTTTTAAGGTTTATCAAGCCGTACAAACATAAGAAAAATAAATGTAAAAAAATAAAATGAAATTTTTTATTCTAAACTATGAAACTTTTTAAAGAGTTTATCCCCGACACGCCATATAAAATTTAAAAGAATAACTTTCGCTCAATGTAACAAATCAATTATGGCTAATAAGTTTCTTTCAACTAATTTGGAACGATTTCAAGACGGATTAAATCTCCACTTACGCGTTAATGGCGCGAAATAGATCGCGCGTTAATTGTCCCAATGTGGTCAAACTGGCCAAAATGGCAATCTTTAAACCCTCATAACTTTACGAAAATTGATCACAGGTGAAATATCTTTTCAAATTTAATAGGACAGCAATACCTTTTGAATGACATAAAAACATTTCGTCAAAAATGGCTAGTTAAAAAGTCGAAATTTGCCTGAAGAAAAAAACAACCACCCCGAGCACAAATATTCCGTCACTTTCGTATCGAAAGTCGGAACAATGAACGCTGGGATGGAGGATCTTATCTTAACTTGGTCTATTTGGGGAGGGAGGGGGAAGGATGTTAACTTGATCCGACTTTTTTTGCACGAGTTACGAGTTAAATTAGTTTTAACTCTTTTATTTAAAATGTTTAAAGAAGTACTTATTTCTGATATGAAAAAGCGATCTTCATTTCATGATTCAACCTGCATGAACAATTTTAAAACAGCTCTTCCGTAAACACAAATTGAATTTCCGCTTTTGATTTAACAACAGAAAAAAATGCATAAACGATTCTCTCTTTAGACCGTATTTGATGTGATGAGACAAGAAAGATAGTTGTTTTTTACAACTAGTAAATAGATAGTTAATTTCTAAGTTGAGGCTACGTTCCAAGTTTTCGTTTGGATAAATTGGCTCTTTTCCACTTCCCCATCACCTTTCAAATTTTCTGTTTTTATAATTGTTTTACGTGTGCTTATGGCTAATCGCGTGATATTGGGTTGCAAGGTATGAAGAACAAATATGTTCACAATTGTCTTCTCGTTAACGACACCAAGTTTAATTGCATATGACAAACGTTAAAATGGTTTTCAAAACTGAAATTGAAAGGTGGGGGGAGTGGAAAAAAGTCGAGAAATTTTATATGTTAACTTCCATACATAACGAAACAGCTCATTTAAAAAAGCTTAAGCTTTGAAAAAGCTGTTCTTTAAGTATACAGTGTTTCATTTTTAAATTTTTTTGCTTATCAAAAGTTTTGATGTGCAAAAAAATTATTAAAAAAGGAAATACAGTATACTTAAAGCAGATTCAAAGCTGCTGTCGAAAAGTTTTTAGCAACTTGGACAACAAGGCATTAGATATTCTTTTATTATCATCAATGGAAAATTCAAATTTGTCTGACCTTTTTCGAAATACTAACCTGGTTTCAGAATATGCCCATTTCGTCAGAACCTCACACATGTAATTAACTTTTCGAACAGTAATGGTTTGTGAATTCAGAATGAAAGGTAATTTTTCAATTTATCTCCAAGTACAACTTCAGAATAGAAAAGTGAGAACACATTTCGAAGCACCACTTTGCCGAGTTAAATGGCACATTTTGATTCTTCAGTAAATATTCCCATTTGATACCCAGGGAATTTAATGGATAATGGGGGGGGGGGTTATGTGGATATCTTCCTCCAAGAAAAATGGTCTATTAAATAATTCAAACTCCGAAATTCCTGATTCGAATACTCTTTTATTTCAAAAACCGAAATGGTATACCAAAAACAAGTGCAGTTACAGATTTGGAATTAAAAAAATGCGAGTACAGTAAGCAAAAAATATATTTTTTTAGACATTGAACCATTTTTTATTTGAAGTTAGTATATAGTTCCAACTGAAAAAAAAAGGATGAAAAAATACAACATGTTTGTTTCTTCTAACATGCTATTATGTTAAGTACAACTGTCTAACCAACTTAATAATCATAAATTGTCTTCACATCATAAACGGTCTGGAATAGGATTCCATTTCAATGTGAATTAATCAAACTCATTTTTCATTTATTTGTTTTGAGACAAAATCTTTATCCAATTTTTAACCCAGTTAAGTTTAAAGGTACCAAATACGCCTGTTTAATCACCTGATTTGAAGAAGAGTTTGGTTCGAAAACTTCTATGAAGTGTATGTTATGTAGCCTATAGCGCCCACGGTTCTGTGTAACTTTCTTAATCCAATATGGAAAATCGAGATTCGAGATATTGAACCAGTCAATCTGTCTTTGAGCCACCTCTTAAAGGTGCAACAAACAAGCGTTTATCTAATCGACCGGTTAAGCAAGCCAATTGGTAGATCTTGGTGACATAAATTATGATGCGCTTACTGTTGATATGTTTAACTTCTTTTGTCAGTTTCATTCTGAGTAATAAACCACGCTTTCGATAAAACGGAGATTTAGCAGAAACTGTTAAATGGCAAAATGGAGCTTTTTTTGGTTGCCTTTTGTAAAAAAAAATAAAATGATTAGTTCAAGAATATTTTTTGGGCAAATATTTAATGCTGAAAAAATTAATTTCTTAAATGCCCGTGTTATCTGTCCACGGAAGACCTCTCTGGAGCTAAGGCATGAGTAGACTGGGAAAACCATGTCAAAGTCTGCAATCTATGGAACCCCTGGATGAGTCGAACAGTCCAGAAGTATTTTTTTCAAGTTTTTTTTCTGCTAAGGAACCAGACCTCGGACTGCCAAAAATTTTCTATCAAAAAGTTTCAATTTAATTCGAATAACCAGGCGGCGACTCAATTACATAAAATGCTCTTTTTTATTCCGATTTTTGTCACCAAAGTAACGGAATATTTGTGCTCGGGGTGAGTTTTTTTTTCTTCAGACAATTTTCAACTTTTTAACTAGCCATTTCTGACAAACTTTTTTTATATCATTAAAAAAGTATTGTTGCCCTGAACTCAAGTTTGAAAAAATAATTTATCTGTCATTATTTTTCGAAAAAATATGAGGGTTTAAAAAATACAATTTTCGCTAACTTGGGAAAATTAACGCGCGATATATTTCGCGTTTTTAACGCGTAAGCGGAGATCAATTCGTCTTTGAAATTGATCCAAATTGGTTAAAGAAAGCTTATTTGCCATAATTGACATGTTACTAGGAGCAAAAATCATCACTTTGTACTTTTTATGGCTTGTGGGGGGGATGATTCCTACAAAAATCTTAAATTAAAAAAAAAATGCATTTTGTTGTATTACATTTATTTTTTTCATGTTATTACTGCTCAATTGATCTTAAAAGGCATTCAAAACATTCAAGGCTTCAATCTGATACGAGCAGTCTTGTTTCTTTCTCCTGACTTTTTCGCTCGCGAAGGTTCAATCGATAGCGTGACATATGCTTACGAAAGCCAGGGCTAAACATGGTTTTCTACAAAAAGCAATCTTTAAAATTTATTAGGGCAAAAAACGTTTAAATAGCTTTTTGATCATTGTAACTGCATTACGAGGCCAAACTGTGCACTGGATAGGCGCACAATTTTGTGGCTTTATATTCCTGGATTCCATAGACTAGTATTTAAACATGTTCCAAAGTGTAAGTGGATTCCACTTACAAGATTTACTTGGATTCCGCGCACATATACGTGTAGCGTAAGCTTTGTCGGCACATTTATTTTGTTGCGGATTCCACAACAAGCAATTATAGCTAGTTGTTCTGGATTCCGCAATTGAAAGTAGATTCCGCAAAATGTAAGTGGAATCCGAAAGTGTAAGCGGATTCCGCAATCTGTAAAGGAATTCAGAGACTTGTTTATTACTGAACTTGCATATGAACTTGCGGGATTTAAAAGGAAGGACTTAACCATTGTCAGCGGAATCTATGAACAAATTTTAAAACATTGGTTAACTATTATATTAGGTGAGTATTTGGGATTCAGTATTTGAGATTCAGTAATTGGGATTTTGTATTTGAGATTCAGTATTTGGGAGGGTGAATTCAAATCATGAAAACGGTTTTTGGGACGAGATGACAGAGTTCTGAAGAGATATCGCCGAATTACTTCATTATTTGGAATTCAGTACTTGAGATTCAGTATTTGGGAGCGTGAGTTCTTTTTATGAAGATAGTGTTTAGGATGAGATCACAGAGTGAAATCATGAGTTAGCTGTTCAAATCTTTCTGAATAGCTAACTCACAAATATTAAGCAAATTTAGAGCTCTGAATGTCTTATTCTCAAGAAAATTTATATTCTAAAAGATATAATTTTGAACGCTAATCATAATACATATACGTAAATGGAATCCGCAAACAAAATGTGGATTCCACTTACAATTTGCGGATTCCACTTACAATTTGCGGATTCCACTTACATTTTGCGGATTCCGCTTGCAGTTGCGGATTCCGCAACAGCTCAATTTAACTAAAAACATGTCTTTTTATTTGTTTGTGGAATCCACAAAATGTTTTGGATTCCGCAAATACGGTTGCGGATTCCCTAAACTCGCCTATTTTTGGAGCAATTTTGAACGGTACAGTGTTTTAGGTATTTGTTTGTGGAATCCAAAACAGCAAAGAAGATCAAAGAATTGTAGCAATGTTGCGGATTCTGCGACAAATCCGATTTTAGTCGGTTGCGGAATCCGCATACAATGCACAGAATGCACAGTTTGGCCTCGTAGTGTGGACCGCTTGAAACTGGATATTAAACATTACCAGAATCTCCTTGTTAATAAAAATTCAAAGCTTATTCATTTTTAGATTGCAAAAACTATACAGAATCTGAAAGCATAGATATTTTACTTTTCTCTTAAAAACAGTTGACTGGGTTTGTATTTCAGTGGAGCAAATCGAAACCTATTGATCGAGTCGGAAATTCATGTGTGTGTGTGATGTTCCGCACAATTTCGAACACATTTTTTTGGCCGAGTCTGTTGAAACAAAGCACGCTCGAATCGACAGGATTCAGTCAAATTATAGCCAAATAAAAATTGGGTCGATTCGGACAAAACGTAGCACACATGAGCTTAAAAAATCAAACACATCAATTTTTTTGACCGATTCTTTTCAAATTAACACGCTTGAATTGAATTAAAAACATTCAGTCGAAAAATTGATTCGAAAACATTCGGTTCAGCGGTCAAAAATAGAAAACTCGAGTTGAATGCAGTCAAACTAGTTTCGTTTTTTGATAGAATTGGTGAAAACAAAGCCACGCGTTGGGTCGAGCCGTACAAAATTGAAGACACGCGAGTCAAACTCAGTCGAACACTTTTCTCTGTCGACGAGTCGGTCAAAACAACCAGTTTTGGTCGAGTCGGTCGAAAAAATGCTTTTGGTATTTTTGCTCAAAAAAACTCAAATACCTCAACCGGAGAATTTGTATTGAAAATCGCATGCTAAAAAGTCAAGCACATCAATTTTTCGACCGAGTCTGTTCAAAATACCAGGCTTGAAATAAAAACATTCAGTCGAAAGGTTGATTCGATAACATTCGATTCAGCGGTCAAAAATAAAAAGCTCGAGTTGAATGCAGTCAAACTAGTTTTTTTTTTATTGAATTGGTCAAAACAAAGCCACGCGTTGGGTCGAGCCATACAAAATTTAGGACACGCGAGTCGAACTCAGTCGAACACTTTTCTCCGCCGACAAGTTGGTCAAAACATAGCCAGTTTTGGTCGAGTCCATCGAAAAAAAAAACGTTTTTGGTATTTTGCTCAAAACAAGTCATCCGGAGAACGTGTATTGAACATGAATATTGCATGCTACTAGGCACATTTACTTATCGCTACTCACCTATTGAGTCACAAGCACAGTCATTTCGAAAAAGAAATCTTTGTTACGAGTTGTTTTGTTTTTGAAGTTTTTCTATTCTTTGTTTGCATCAATGTCAACGTCAAAAGACATCGAAGTTGAAATTAGTAACTAGAAGTTTTCTGTTGAGGTTGACTTCACGATTTTTTGGCAGCTTTATCAATGCATTCATACCAGCTAAAACATCGAAAACTTGATCTCGAAGAAATAGATTCTGATATGAACAATTTTGTGAGTCAGCTATCCAAACAAACAATTAGCCACAAATAATTGGCTCTTTTTACGTTTCCCCCACCAGCGAAATTTTACTAGTAAAATTTTGTTCACATTACCGGATTGTTACAAAAACTAAAATGCGGACTAATTGGGCTATGGCAAACATATTTGGTCTGCATACTTAACCTTGTAAAACCCCTCGTTACAACATAACATTGATGCATATGTGAGGTTGGGAGGTAGGAAAAAAGACCTTAACAATTGCAGAGTTCTGAAGAGATATCGCCGAATTACTTCATTATTTGGAATTCAGTACTTGAGATTCAGTATTTGGGAGCGTGAGTTCTTTTTATGAAGATAGTGTTTAGGATGAGATCACAGAGTGAAATCATGAGTTAGCTGTTCAAATCTTTCTGAATAGCTAACTCACAAATATTAAGCAAATTTAGAGCTCTGAATGTCTTATTCTCAAGAAAATTTATATTCTAAAAGATATAATTTTGAACGCTAATCATAATACATATACGTAAATGGAATCCGCAAACAAAATGTGGATTCCACTTACAATTTGCGGATTCCACTTACAATTTGCGGATTCCACCTACATTTTGAGGATTCCGCTTGCAGTTGCGGATTCCGCAACAGCTCAATTTAACTATAAACATGTCTTTTTATTTGTTTGTGGAATCCACAAAATGTTTTGGATTCCGCAAATACGGTTGCGGATTCCCTAAACTCGCCTATTTTTGGAGCGATTTTGAACGGTACAGTGTTTTAGGTATTTGTTTGTGGAATCCAAAACAGCAAAGAAGATCAAAGAATTGTAGCAATGTTGCGGATTCTGCGACAAATCCGATTTTAGTCGGTTGCGGAATCCGCATACAATGCACAGAATGCACAGTTTGGCCTCGTAGTGTGGACCGCTTGAAACTGGATATTAAACATTACCAGAATCTCCTTGTTAATAAAAATTCAAAGCTTATTCATTTTTAGATTGCAAAAACTATACAGAATCTGAAAGCATAGATATTTTACTTTTCTCTTAAAAACAGTTGACTGCGTTTGTATTTCAGTGGAGCAAATCGAAACCTATTGATCGAGTCGGAAATTCATGTGTGTGTGTGATGTTCCGCACAATTTCGAACACATTTTTTTGGCCGAGTCTGTTGAAACAAAGCACGCTCGAATCGACAGGATTCAGTCAAATTATAGCCAAATAAAAATTGGGTCGATTCGGACAAAACGTAGCACACATGAGCTTAAAAA